CTGCTCTACTTCTAGTTCTTGCTTACTGCTAGGGTGTAGCCCTTCAAGATAAATCACAGCCCCTCCTTCTTGGAGATCCCAAACTCTATTTTTTATCTTCACAGCACTGTGAACCTGCTGGTAGTTCTGCTGAGCTTCTCAGCCTCTTAATCTATTTCTTTTTCACTTCTTGGTTTTTCAGCCTCTGCTTACAAATCAGTAAATGACATAAGTTGAAAAACAGCTTAGACTCTTAGATTCACTTTCACTACTTTCCTTCTCTCCAGGATCTTGGCCCCTCAAGTTCTGGACTTCCCTGGTAGCTCTCTAATGCCTTTAAGTAGTTGATTTTTTATCATTTATTCAGCTTTTCTAATGTTCTTGGTGGGAGGGTCAGACTCATATTAAATGTGGTCTGGGAGCTCCTTGGAAAACCCCAAGGTCTGAAGGTCAAATAAGTTGACGTTTGCACTGATGTTGCAAAAGCAATGGTGGGTAAAGATGCTAGTAACTTAGTGTGAATCTAGGTAGAAGCACCAAACTATACTAGTAGTCACTGTAATCTTCACTGTCCTGAATTTGTAATTAAAGCAAATGCCAGTTTCCATTGCAAATGTCCTTGATGAAGTGGTAAAAATTATTAATTTTATTAAACCTTGAGGCTTGAGTACACCTCGTCTGCTGCGTACTGAAATACAACAGTTGGATTTCACATATACATGAAATACATGAAAATTTTTTCATGGAAAAAATGAAAAACACTTTTTCATGAAAAAACACTTGTGCAATTGAGGGGTGTGCTGAACTTGTTTTGTTTTGTTTTTTCTTTCATGGATCAACGTTTTTACTTGAAAGAATGACTGACAAAGTATAGTTCTCAAAAAGGAATGAAGTGAGCCCGTCTCTACAAGACAACAGCTGACAGTATTCATTGCCAATGATAAAATTGGCAATGGGTCAAGTGAAAATTGGATTTTTGGAAAACTTACATCCAGTACTGTGAGCTTGAGAGCTTCCCAATATTTAAAGCCTTTTCTGATAAAATTGGTAATGTTAACTAATGTGATTTTTATATTGCATAATGAAATATGTCAACATTTGAAAGATCTGCATAACACAGTGAACCACCATTTTCCAAATAACCAATATATGATGTTACAAAATCATGCACAGGAGCGCAATCCATTCAACATGTAAGATAGACCAATGGATTTTAACATAAGAGTATGAAAAATTTACTGAAAGGGTTTCATATTGCACATTGAAATTATTTTTAAAAACTTTATCATTTGTCAATATCTAGCGTGTATCAAAGAATAATATCCCCAGTTATATAAAAAGAGTATTAAAATAGTCCTCCCCTTTCCAGCTACATATCTGTGTGAGACTAGAGTTTCTTCATTTTCATCAACTGAAACAGCATATTCCAAAAATTCAATGCAGAAGCAAATATAGAATCCAGCGTTCTTCTATTTAAGACAGACATTTAAAAGATTCAGACAATGTAAAACAATGCTTCTCTTCTATTTTCTTTGTTTTTGGAAAAGAGGTTTTTTTAAATAAAAATATTTATTTTAATATATGATAGTATTATTTTAATGATTCAATAAGCAAATATTTGAAATTTTAATTTCTAATATGGTAAATATTGATAGATATCACTCCCATAAACAAAAGCTCTTTGGGGTCTTCAAAAAATTTTAAGAACAAGAACCACCTGATATAAACTATCAGAGCTGGAAGCTCTGTGCAGAGGAGGCCTGAGGGCATTTCTTATCTGTATCCTTTTTGGTCTTGAGGAACACCCGAAATTTCAGGAAATTTTGGCCATTTCTACATGGCAACAAAGGAATGGATTGGTTAATTTTTATAAATATGACAGGCAGACTAAATATTATTGTCTAGATTATCAGATGTCAGGTAGATGGCTTACTTTTTAATGTTGTATTAAATTACATGATTATAGCCTTTGACTTGCTGGTCATTGGCTAAATGCAGAAAGACAAATGGCACAAACACATAGTTTATAAACGTTGGACGTTCTTGTCAGGTAGTTGAGAAAGAGGTTGAAATGCTTTCAACCAGGCTTGCCATCCAACATCAAGATTCGTTTTTCGAGAGGTGCCTTAACTCTACAAAGCACATCAGTCAAGATGGTGGTATTTAGCTAAGAAGGAAACTAATTGTTTTGGAAACAATAAGGTCAGATGAAGCGTCTTAAAGATAAGATTTCAGTTGGGAAAGCTTTGCAGAGAACTTCGGAAATTCCATTCCCCATCATCAATGAATACAATCATTTTCCCCCTGAGAGAATGAATATTTAAATAACCCATCAGTGATTATAAAATGGCTAAAAGATAACTTGTGTCTTCTTTATAACTTGTGTCTTATCAGACTATTCGTGTGCATCTTGGTTTCACTCTTTTATAAATCTGTCCTATTTAGAGTTAAAGCAGTTCAATTTTTGTGTTGACTATTGTCTGATTTTATGTATAAAAATCCTACCCTTGTAAAAAAAAATTTAGTTTTTGAGGGAAAGGACTATACATATTTTGCATCATTCACAATGTCCTGTGGATAGGCAGACTCTTCATACTTGCTGTTCAGTTTAAAAGTTGAGATGCAGGAATTTAATTTCCTTTCTGCAAGTATGTGCTGAGAATTGACTACATATAAGGTGTCATGTTAGGCTCCAACAGCTGTGCGTTTGTGCATTTTACCTTTACACTGGAGAAACAAATGACAGGAATGGGAAATGCAGTGGATACTGAGTCATATTGTTTTGAAAGAATTGTACCCATGGCAGTGGAATTCTTATGAAATAAACCATTTTTGTTGAAAACCCTACCTTCTTCGCAAACATATGAAGGATGTGAAGAGTTTCAGCAAAGGAATTACAGAGTTGTCCCTCTTGGTGCACAGTACTGTCCATCAGATTTTAAATAGTTCTGAAAGCAGAATTGATTGTGATTTCACACTCAAAGGGATGTCTGCACTGGCAGCCAATGGGGATGGTAGATATTGGTTTTCACATTAAGAGGCTTGAACCTTTCTCTTCTTGCCTGTCTTGTTGGCAGGCCCCTAACCAGTGAGGGAGGTTAGCTTTGGACTCATAAAGGAATACTTTAGAAAGCCAGTTTTTCCACCAACCTTATTGAATTTAAAAATATTACTTCTCTGGGACTTCCCTGGTGGCGCAGTGGTTAAGAATCTGCCTGCCAGTTCAGGGGACACGGGTTCAATCCCTGGTCCGGGAAGATCTCACATGCCGTGGGGCAACTAAGCCCGTGCGCCACAACTACTGAGCCCACGTGCTGCAATTACTGAAGCCCACGCGTCTAGAGCCCGTGCTCCGCAACAGAAGCCACCACAATGAGAAGCCTGGGCTCTCAATGAAGAGTAGCCCCCGCTCCCCGCAATTAGAGAAAGCCCACACGCGGCAGCAAAGACCCAACGCAGCCAAAATAAATAAATTAGTTAATTTTAGAAAATTTAAAAAAGAAATATATATTAAAAAATATTACTTTGGTTATAAAATTGTAAAATGCCCTGAACACTTACTAATCACGCTAATGTGCTATCGTAGTGACATTTCTTGGCCCTGAGTTTGGAGGTACAATCTGATAGATCTTAAATAATATATGTGGTGAAAGTGCTTACTTAAAAGTAAGTTCATGATGTGGCATCATGAGCTAGGAGCACGGGCTCCACAGACAGACTGCAGCTGTGGCGCCGTGAGTGAGGTGGCTGGGGTGACTCTCAGTGTTAGAACTCATTGCCTCTAAAAGAGGAAATAACAGAGTTGTTGAGAGGATTGGCGGAGTTAATGCATGTAAAATGCCGGCTATTATTATTGTTTTTATTTCTCCTAATTAATCAGGTCATATTCTATGATTTCAATAATTAATCATAGTAGAACTTCCTTCTTCACCATCCCCCTGCCCACGTGCTCAGTTTCTAGGCTGTTTGCCATGTTCCCTGTTGCTGAAGTCTTAAGAATTTTGTAATCATGTCTTTTGTGGAGGTGATAGCTGTAGTGGTGAGAGACGTATTTCAAATAAGTTTCAGTTTTTGAATATCAATACCTGCTCAGTTATCTCCCCATACATGCTGCCCTTGGCAACAACCAAGGCATGCCTGTTGTTAATTAATCACTTCCACTGAGAACTTAATTAGTGTCTTAATTAGGATCATCATTGAATAGCAGGCAGCAGCATCTTGCGCCAGCTGCAAGTTATTGGTCGCAGCCCTTCTGGTCCTGCGAAAACTTAGACGGAGGAGGGATCCTGTTGTGCTTCTGTTTGTTTTTGTCTTCAGAGAAAGCTGCGGAAGGTCATCAGTTGTTTGTGATGCATCGATGTTCTGTCACACGTGCAAAAATAAGGAAACACATCCACTTCTAATGGATCGATCAGAAAACCAAGATTGGCTTTTGAATTCTTGTGATTGTGCTAAACAAGCCGGAAACACATTGTTGTTGTTGTTCGCATGCGTTGAGAAGTGGGCCATGCGTTCTGAGTATGACAGAGTATTTCATTTTTCTGCTGGAAGTTAAAGTTCCTTCCTTCTGGCATCATTGTTTTTTAATATGTTTTTTTGAAATATTGCCGTATTGTTACAGGATGAAATCAGCACTCCATTTTCTTTCTCTTCACCCCCTCAGGAAAATATGGCAAAATGAGGCAAAAGTAGCATCTTCTTGACTTACTTTCCTGTAGAAGTAGAATTGGGTTGAGGGTGAGAGGCGTGATCAAGTTATTCCGAAAACAACATTTCTCCCAGACCTTTTGGATGGATTGTAACATTGCAACTATAAAATAAAAGCCAACGCACTGACGACTTCTATTTTATAGAAAGGAGAATCCCTGAGTCAAGTTCCCAAGTGAGGACAGGCATTGTGAAATGGACCTGCTTCACTTGAGCATATTTGCTCATTTTTTTGACTATCATAGACTTTTAGGTGACTTAGGTCAATTGTGGACTTGGTGAAGGGATCAAGTGAAATATTTTGTATTCGACAGATTTGCTGCTGCTTCCAGGAGAGGTGGAGCAGGACAGGAGCATGAGTGTTCCTTCTTACATTCCTTCCGTGGCCCAGCCTCTTACCTCTGGAGTGAAGCCAAGGCCCACTGGAAAAGGAGCAGGGGAACAAAGGGAAGAGGTACTCCACAGGGAATTCAATCCTCTTGAAATTGCCTTGATTTTGTAACTAGTCCTTTCAGAGTAATGCCACTACACCCTTGTGCTTCTGTATTTTTCTGAGATTTGGGAAGATTTACAGTTCAGGTTGCTTAATTGGGTCCCTCTCACTGCCATCTCTCTCTAATGTGTATAATCCCTTTTAAACACACAGAGAGAGCAATTATGTTTTTACGTGGAAACTATGTTTGTGTCATGATGTTCGCCATGCTACAGGGACAGTGCTACTTGGGGACTCCGCAAGAGAAAGGATGGAAAGTTTTCTTATCTCTTTTAGTCTGCACTGGCCACTTTTCTTTTTATTATTGTTTCCAAGGTCCTAAAAACATTTTGCATTAGTTAAGGTAAGGCCAGGCTGCTATAGTAGGCAATCCCAACAATAAATCAGTGGCTGAAAGGAGACAGAAGTTTATTTCTCTCATGTGGCAGTCTGTAGAGAGCCTTTAAAATGAGCAGGTGCTTCTGTGCCCTGGGGTTACCAGGGCCCAGGTTCCTTCTCTCTGGATCTCCACTGAACCTCAGGACATTGTCCTCATGTGCATATTCCAAGTCAGGTCACTGTCCTACCTGCAGGGGCAAGGGATGAGAATGTGGGAGCAGCAAGTTCCCCCAGGGCTTAGGACTCAGGGCTCTTCATCTCTGCTCACATTCCATTGGCAACCACTTAGTCACATGTTCCTATCTGGTCACTGGGGAGGCTGGGAAATGTCATCTAGACATGCGCTTCACCAGCACAGGAGAATGGAATCTGCCACATGTTAACGCCCCCAAATGCACAACTTGAAAGCCATCTTTCACCATCATTTGCAACTCATCTACATATACTTAACAAGCATGTGCCAACCAAGGCTGCTGATGGTGCTGGGTAGTGACCTTTATCACCTTTATTACTCTAGCATGAAAGGGGATGGGGCACAAGAAGTTGTTAAGGGGTCTTTATTATTGCTTCCTAATAAAAACACTAGGGTGTTTCGTGATTATTTAGTTGTTTGGGTACTAGTCTTGTCACTTGATGTTATGGAAGCAGTCATTGAATCAGAAGTAATCCACACATTTCAATTTTAAATTGCCCTTTTCTCATAGAACTTTTGTTCACTGACATCACAGAAGTCTATCTAGGATGCTTGCAGACTTATATTAAACCCCAAATTGTTTACCAGATAAACTTGCGGAGATAGCCACTTTTCAACGTGCTTTTTGAATTATAGATTGCTTTCCCTGAGTATTAAGAAACTATAATTACAAGGTGATTTCTAGCAGGAATCAGTTTCTTTTAAAGACTTGTTCATGTTCTTGACTTCAGTTGTGACCATACAAATTATTGGACCAGTCAGTGGTCAGTGGCACCTAGTGCCATTATAGAAATTGTTACAAAATGGTTTTAGTTGATGGGTTAAAAAAAAAGAATGATTTCTGGAATCAATCATATAGCCAGTAAAATGCTAGTTAAAACCCTGTGTATGGTTGTATCTTTAAAAGGAGTATAAATTTCTTCCCAGAGAATGTGAACATTTTTCAGTGTTCGAATCAAAATGATATGAACAATTTTTGTGTTGGCAAAAATGAGACATAGATGAATAATTTGCTGCTTTTTAAAGATCCAGAGTAATATTTTGGGTGGGATTTTAACTTCTAACCACTATTTGTTAGAGAAATGTTTCAGAATGTCTAGAGTCACAATACCACACCAACTCTGCCTTGGTTTAATAGTATTAATCTTATTTTAAAATACCCAATGTAGGTAAAAGAACATAATCACCAATTTCCAGCACATGCAACGGGCTGTTTTGGGTGAGAGATGGTAGTTGCTTTCTGTGATGTCAATCTCAAAAGAGGAAACTTATCCTGGATGTCCTGACTTCCTCTTAATTGCCTAATGAGAATCCGTAACTTCCTCATATGGACTGGACCCATTTAATTTTTTTCCTAATTTTATTGCTGCTTTTATACATGTGCATTTCCTCCTTACAGTCAAACGTTTTTCAAGAGCCTTCCACTTTCCCTTTGTGAATAACTTCTTGCCGTAGTTACTCTATTTTGCTGAATTTTGGAAGTTTTGAACAACTTTACTGAACAAAAAGAATTCACATTAAGAAGATGAAAAATTGTGAGTTCTTGTCCTACTTCCCAAAATATAGAAGAGGTCATTGAAGAAACTTTTGTAGTATTTTAATGGGAGATTGCCTGTTTTTCCAATTCAAAATGGGACTCTAGGGCTTCCCTGGTGGCACAGTGGTTGAGAGTCCACCTGCCGATGCAGGGGACATGGGTTCGTGCCCCGGTCCGGGAGGATCCCACATGCCGCGGAGCTGCTGGGCCCGTGAGCCATGGCCGCTGAGCCTGCGCGTCCAGAGCTTGTGCTCCGCAACGGGAGAGGCCACAGCAGTGAGAGGCCCGCATACTGCCAAAAAAAAAAAAAAAAAAAATGGGACTCTGAAATTTTTCACCTGTATAGACAGTTTATTTATCATATTACTGTGTAAGATAACCTACAGCTAAATGCTACTATTATTGATTTGAGCATTAGTTCTATTTCCTTTCATTTGCCTACATGGTACTGTGAATGAAAATGATTCCTTCTGTAATAGTGTCTCTCTTAGAATAAATCACGTGAGCAATTTTAAGAAAACTAGCAATTTTCTAATAGTGTACAAATTCTGTTCCCTCAGAGGCTACAAAAAGATTTCAATTAGATTTGAAATTAGACGCCTGAAATCCACGTGTTTCTCTCAGCTCCTTAGGCAAAAATAACAAGTTAATAACTTAATTCACAGTTGTTTTCTGTTTCGTCGCAGGGGATTTGGTGTTCCATTGCACGAATTCTGCTCTTTGAAACAAGTCAGAAGTTCAGTTTGCAATCTAAAAAACTTGGAGCCTTATATCTTAGAACCTCAAAATGAACCTAACTTGAAAGAAGAGAATTCCCAAAGTACGCCACAGTAGCCAACAGCTGAAATGCATAAATAGAACTGCAGCTTTACAGTATTTGAAAAGTTGTCATTTTGAAGATCACAGTGATGTGTTCTGAACTGCAGTGTACATCAGGGTTCACTTTGAATTACGTATATGCCCCTTGTCTTACAAGACCCTACATTCACTCGTGTGTGTCTCTATAAGGTTATTTAATTAAAATGCAAAAAAGTCGCAACTAGTGCCGAATTCAGTGCTTTGCGTATAGGAGACATGCAATAAGTATTGAATGAACAAATAATCAGGAAACTTTCCTCGCTACAGGGAGTGATTTTCTGGTATAATAAGATGGTTAGGGTCCTTGTCTCTTTCCTTCTCTATTGGTTCATTGCCCTCAACGTGTAAACATGTTTAAGTCTCTCCCATCCTTAACAAAATGAAAGAAAACTAAAGAAAAAACAACCTTCCCTTTACCTCGGACCCCCCTTGGCTATTGTCTAGTCTTTTTTCTCCCTTTTCGTACAGACTTCAGAAACCCAACAGACTCGACTCCTCTAGTTGACTCTGCTTCCTTTCCCCTCACTCCTCATTCAGTTCATTGCAAAATGCCCTTGGTCTAATCACCTGCCTGGACATATTCAGAATAAAGGTACTTTATCATTGCCAATCATCCCAATGGACAATTTTCAGCCTTTATTTTAATGGGACTGTCTACTGTGTTTTTTACCATTGATTTTCCCTGACACACATGGTCCACTGGTTCTCTCTTCCCAGCTCTTCTCAGATTCTTTGTGTATTTCTCTGAGTGTTCTTTCCCTGCCTCCTTTGGGGGTTTTCCCTCCATGCTTCCCTTAGGAGTTGGTATTCCTCAGGGTTCCATGCTAAACCTACAGCTCTTCCCGCTTGCATACTTGGATCTGTTTTCATCTATAGGTTACTACCTTTTGTGCTTATGTCTCCAAATCTGTATCTCCAGCTTCAGACCTTTTGCCGAGCTTCAGGTTTGTGGGTTCAATTGCCTGTTGACAATTCTATCTGGATTCCTTGAGGTACATTCAAATCAACATGTTAAAAACTGAGCTTCCCTTCCATATCCAAATCAGTCATCAAGTGCTGTTAATTTCACTTTCTAATATTTTAAAATATCTGCTCTCAATGCCCTGTTCTCATTATCTTGTCTGGACTGCTTCAGCAGGCTCCTGGCTAGTCTCCTGACTCCCAATCTACCCTCTGTTCCGTCTTCAGAGTGATCTTTCTTGATGTACCCTCCAAGAGCTCAGGGTCTCCTCCTGTTCTCTGCACGCCTGTGTCTCATTGTAGGTGCTCAGTTAACATTTGAATGAAGGAAGGAATTTATTCGAAATGCACAGATACCAAGTATCTACCTGCTTTCAAAAAATCCTTCAGCAGCTTTTCTTCATCTCTGGGAAAAGTAGCATATAAGACCTGCCATGATCTGGCACCATCTTCGTCTCTTGCCACTGTCTACCTGACATTTTCTGCTCTGACAACACTGAACTACTCGCAGATACACATATGTGAAATTTGTGTGTTTCTGACTTGGCCTGTTCATGAGACCTGCTTTTGTCTGCAAAGCTCGTCTTCCCTCAACCTTGTTAAATAATATTACCCTTGAAGATTCTGCTTAGACAGCACCTCTTCCAGAAAGCCTCCTCTGAATCCTTCCCAGTGCCTTCCAACCTGGGCTGGGTTAGGTGTTCCTTCTCTGTTCCTGTCACCTTCTAACTATACCATGTGTACTTACTACATTTTACTACAATGATCTGTTGATGTGTCTATCTCATTTCTCTGTGATTTCATACAAGTCTGCATCTTTGTATCCTCAGCACCTACACAGTGCCTAGATTTTAATAAACTTTTGTGGAAAGAATGGAATATATCTGAATGATTGCAGGAGACTATTCCTCTGACATTTTGATCCAGAGATGTACTGGCCACCTTGCAGTATAGAGAGACAGTGATACCCCCAAAATGTTTTAAAAGGTCTTGAGTATCATATTTTGGCATTGCAGATATGAAATTATTATTATTCTTCGTTTCTTGCTTTTATATTTCAGCATTTAACTGATTGCCTAAGGAATTAATCTAACAATGATAGCTGCTGTTAATAACTCAGTTTCTAAGTGAAGACATTTATAAGTATATTTTTATATTTTTAAGTGTATTGTAAATGAATAATTATTGTGTTGGCCTCATATGTTTATTGGCTAGCTAGAAACTTATTTCTCGTTGCTGTTTCGGTTAATAACAAATGACTGATGAAGGAAATCATGCTCCACAATAGAGAAAAATTTCAGTGTATGAAAAAGAACTTAAAGGAAAATAAAAAACTTTTCACTTAAGGATAAATTTCTATATCTCTAGTTACATACTGTTGGATATTACGGCCGAAAGGTGTATGGGGACCGTGGGGAAGGGAGAGGAGTAAGAAGGTGGTGGGTTGGACCCTATCTGGGAGAAAGGACTAACTTGGTCACAGGAGTCAGCCCTCGTCAGAGAGTCTGGAAGTTCCACATACAAGCCTTAGTCTGTCTGCGTTGCTGATAAAAGGTGGGTCCTGAGTGGGGTGATGAGTGGGGAGGTGAGTAGGGTTTTCTGGAGAGTGGCCACACTCAGCTGAGGCTAAGTTAAGCTTCAGCACTTTACCCTCTGTGCTCCTTTAGCCCTTTTTGCATCCCTCTGTTGGGGAGCATGGAGCATGATAATGAAATCACTCATTTACTTCCGTCTTCTCCCTGAAGTTATGAAACCTCGTGGGCACAGATTTTGCTTCTTTTCATCCTTGTGTTCCCGGTATCTAATTCACATTAAGCACTCAGTGAGTGTTTACGGAGTGAACACGTAGAGGGCAAGGAGGTGGGCGTGTGAGGGTTGCTCGGGCTGGGTGAGGGAGCGGGGAGGATGGTATGATGGTCTCGCTGGGATTTTAGCTCAACAAAGGGATTTGTCTAATTTGAACCTGCTTTCCAGCCTCAGAGGGAGCTGGGTGAAGGCAAAGTGACCGCATCTAGTGAGAGTGGCTAGTAAGGTCTAGGCAGGTTTTAGAGACCTCAGGATAGGGTTCAAAGTCCTAGTGCAATGGGCAGCCTGAAACTTGGTGGACATGTGGATGGCAGGTCTTCAACCAGGTGTCCACGGGCAGTAAGAATCTCTTCAGACCGAAGCACTGGCAGAGAGGGGGCTCTTTCTCGTCTTCTGCCAGGACCAGGCCTGCAAACCTCAGCGCTTACTGCTGGATAGAGTTAGAGACGGCGAGGATGCTTCTGTTCAGGAAATGAGCATACTGTGTCCTTGTGTCTGTGTTTCTTCATTTGAGCTGGTCTTAGCCATATTACCCCCACTGTCACTTTGTGGTGACAATAAATTTAATCTTCAGAAAGTGACCTAAATGGACAGATTAGCCACTCGGCAGACTGAGTCGCTTCCAGGGTACAGCTGCTCTTTTAAAGATAGTCATGGTATTATGTGGATCCTCGAGTGCATTTTTTTTTTCTCTTTTTTTTTTTTGAGTGCATTTTTTTATGATAGGCTGTGAGAATTTTTTAGCTTATTTAGAAAATATCTTTTCTCCCAAAGAGCTATGACTCGGCTTAGTGAAAACTTCAAGGTCGATCTTTACTGGTGTTTTTTGTTGCGAAGGTGAAGCTTTATCTACAGGTCGCCCGGGATTCAAATCTTGCTTCTCTTCCTTACTAACTGTGTAGCCTTGGCAAGTTACTTAACCTTTCAGAGCTTTGTAAGATGGGTTGTTTGAAGATTACTGCTAATGCCTGCACGGTTCCTAGTACTGGGGCTGGCGCATGGTGGGGACTCACTCAGTGGCAGCTCCCATCATTACCTTTGTCAGGAAAGCACACAGACACTTTCTAACAAAGGGGAAGTGAGCAAGTCTCTGAAATTTGTTCTCGTGCTGGTTTTCCCGAGAAAGGATGATAGATGGCTGGGTGTTTGCTATTAGCACTGCACACTCAACTACAAGATGCAACTTGCTAAACAGATAGGAGATATCTACTTTTCATGTTTTGGGGTGTTTTGTTTCGTTTTTTTGCACCTTTGGTAACAGTACACAGTTGCTGAGCTAGATGCTCCATTTTCAAGAACATTGCAAAAGCCACTAAATGAGATCATTTTCCATGCAAGACTATTGAAAGCTGATTATAGCTTCAGGGCATTTTTTTCATTCTTGCATAAGCCATCCTTTTCAATTATTTCAGCATCACCATACATAATAGAGAGCGACACAGAGGTGCTGGGTGATTTCACTGTATCACACACCATTTGCTTTTGGAGAGGCCTTTTAAGGGGTGATACAGTGAGATTTAAGGCATTAAATCTCTTTTGTTTATTGGAAAATATGCTTTTTTTAATCTACCTTCCTTTAGGAAGTCTTTAAAATTGACAGATTATGAATAAGTAGATACAAAATTATTACATCTCTTTGCAGCTACTCTGAGTTGCAGATAAATTCTGTAATATTTAAAAAATTCTTGGTAGGAAGAAAGGATCCTGGACTTTTTAATTTAGGGTGCTACTATGTGTTTTAATTCCTGCTGCTATTGGCCCAAGTATTATCTGAAGAAGTAAGTATATTAAGCAGAGAGTATTTTTATCTTTGAAAATGATGTTTTATTGCTACAGGTCTTTTTTAGTAAATGGTAAAAGTGTCCTTAAGGTTGACCAAAATCTTAAGGTATATTTTCTCACATTTGAATATAACTCTTAGTTTTTCCATATGCCTGTAGCCCTAACACTACAAATGGTAAAAATGTAATGAATGTGTGCAAGAGAGACTTTCTGATTCTTCTTGCCGTGGGCAGAATTAGTTAATGATATTCATTCAGATGCAGGATGGTACAAATGGGGCATATTAAGAGGCTTAAATTAGGTCAAATTGAATAATTGAATTTATTCCTTTACTTAAAAACAGCTTAATCAGCTCAGAGTGCTGAACTCTAAAAAAAGTTTAATTAAATATTAATAGAGAGTTTATGTTTTCAACTTTATCTTCATTTACAATGATTATATGTTATTTTCCTCCTTTGTTACCTTTTATAGATAGTCGGAGGTGAAGTTCGGCCCTTCTCACTTGATGAAGAATTTGATTATGACGCTGTGATGCTAACCCCCAAGTTCACTCCTGCAGAGGTAGATACCATCAAAGAGCTATGCAAGCAAAAGAGAAAGAGCACAGACTTAGAGAAACCCCGGGACTGATCCACCAAGACATCTTCGTGTTTATTTTTATTTTGTTCTTATTCGAGCGACATTAGAATAAAATATATACCTACTATAATCCCTTTTGTGGAAATTTGTGTGTGCGTTGATTTATCAGAGTTATTTGTCAGTAGGGAGATGAAACTTTACAGGGTTTTATGAGACTCTACCCTTACAGAGTTCTCTTCTGTCACATGGCTGCATCCATGGCTGGTCGGGGGCGATGGAGGTGGCAAATGGGGATAGGAAGCAGTGCCTACAGAAGGGTCCATCTGACGAGAGTGCGGAAACTAGGTAATGTGGGGTATTGTAACAAAGACTGGAAATTTCATCCCGCCTCCTTGGGGAGGAAGGGCAATTGAACATGCAAAACACAAAGAACTGACTATGTGATAGGTCATGGTCTCAGGTGTCCAGAGATAGTGGTATGAATGTGAGTGCTGAGAGGTTGGGCATCTAGGATTGATTGGGAAAAGACTTTACTGAAAAAGAAAGCGTCTGAGAATTGATTATATGTCATATATTAAATTCTTGCACTTTGTTATTGCTGTTCAGCCATGTGTGAGGAAAGTTACAAAGTACAAGGAATGATCTCTATTTCCAGAAGTTTACAGTATCATTTGAGAAGGCAAGGCACGGATAGAGAAGACAACTAGAGAATGTAGAAACTATTAGGAAGTGCTAATTGTGTAAAATACCCACGAGTGCTTTAAAGGGAGGAGAAAAAGTGGTGAAGGCACAGACGAAGGGGGAATAGTGTGTACGAAGTAACTTTTATCATTGAAGGAATCAGTAACATCAAATGTACTTAGTCTTTTTTTTCTTTGACTGTATATATTTTATTTCTATTTTTTCTTTTCCATTATGGTTTATTATAGGATACTGAATATAGTTCCCTGTGCTATATAGTAGGACCTTGCTTATCCATTCTGTATATCAGGGGTCCCCAACCCCCGGGCCATGGACCAGTATCCATCTGTGGCCTGTTAGGATCCGGGCCGCACAGCAGGAAGTGAACAGTGGGCAGGTGAGCAAGCAAAGCTTCATCTGTATTTACAGTCGCTCCCCATCGCTCGCATTATCGCCTGAGCTCTGCCTCCTGTCAGATCAGCGGCGGCATTAGATTCTCATAGGAGCGCGAACCCTACTGTGAACTGCACACACGAGGGGTCTAGGTTGTGAGCTCCTTATGAGAATATAATGCCTGATGATCTGGGGTGGAGCTGAGGCGGTGATGCCAGCACTGGGGAGCGGCTGCAAATACAGATTATCATTAGCGGAGAGGTTTGACTGCACAGAGACCATAATAAATCAATTGCTTGCAGACTCATATCAAAACCCTATCAGTGAGTGGCAAGTGAAAACAAGCTCAGGGCTCCCACTGGTTCTGCATTATGGTGAATTGTATAATTATTTCATTATATATTACAATGTAATAATAGCAGAAATAAAGTGCACAATAAATGTAATGTGCTTGAATCATCCCCAAACCATCCCCTCCCATCCTAGTCTGTGGAAAAATTGTCTTCCACGAAACTGGTCCCTGGTGCCAAAAATGTTGGGGACTGCTGCTGTATATAATAGTTTGCATCTGCTAATCCCAAACTCCCCATCCATTCCTCCCCTGCCCCCCCCCAACACCCTGGCAACCACAAGTCTGTTGTCTATGTCTGTGAGTCTGTTTCTGTTTCCTAGATAAGTTCATTTGTGTCATATATTAGATTCCACATATAAGTGATATCATATGGTTATTTGTCTTTCTCTTTCTGACTTGGTTCACTTAGTATGATAATCTCTAGGTCCATCCATTGTTGCTGCAGATGACATTACTTCATTCTTTTTTATGGCTGAGTAGTATTCCATTATATATATATATATATACACACACCACATCTTCTTTGTTCATCTGTTGATAGACATTTAGGCTGTTTCCATATCTTGGCTATTGTCAGTGGTGCTGCTGTGAACGTTGCGATGCATGTATCCTTTTGAATTATAATTTTGTCTAGATATATGCCCCGGAGTGGGATTTCAGGGTCATATGGCAACTCTATTTTTCGTTTTTTTGAGGAACCACCATACTGTTTTCCATACCAGCTGCACCAATTTCAAATGTACTTAGTCTTAATTAGTTTTCATACAGGCCTGTGCTTGTGTGTGTGTATATATTCATAAAAACTGCCATTTATATTCCTTACAAAAAACGCTCTTGATTTAATATTGCTGTAGTCAGGTGATTTCCACATCTATTTTTCTTTGTCTAGTCAAAAGGCTTTCACAAAACACCATTTATGTGCCAAGCCTATGCTAGGCAATGGGGAGGATACAAGTAAATTAGACATGGTCTGACATAGTGGGGAAGACAAATGTATAAACAAATAATTATGGTAGAGCTGCCCTGTCCAGCATCATAGCCACTAGCCACTAGTGTGACTGAGGAACTGATTTTTAAATGTTAATTTTATTTTCATTTAAAATATAAAGTTGATATTTGATGCACTTATTATAAAACTCTCAAGTCCATTTGGAACAAGTTGGGTATGTGAATCTGCTTTTTCAGTTGTAAATTTTATGACATCTAAATACAGATCATTTATTTTTGATGACAACTTAGTGTCTAAAATATGCTATAAATGTAAAATGCGCATTGGATTTCAAAGAATTAATATGAAAAATTATAGACTCTTGTTTTTGTATTGATTACATGTTGAAATGATAATATTTTGGGTCTATCTGGTTAAATAAAATGTATTATTAAAAATTACCAATTTCTTTTTACCTTTTTAATGAGGCTACTAGAACATTTAAAATTACACGTGTGGCTTGTGTATTTTTATTTGACAGCACTGCTGTAGAGTGTAATGAGTTTTGTAAGCGTAATGTGTACTAAGAGGTACTGGGTAAAGCAAGTTGGAGTTATTGAATTATGCCTTGGAGAGCTGGAGAATCTTCAAAGAGGAGGCGACATTTGAGGCTGGCCAGGAAGAATCAGTAGGACTTTTTGATTGGAGGCTATTAGAATAGTTTGTGTGGGAGATAAGAGCCAGAATTAAGGCAGTGTAAGTGGATGTGGAAGGTATGGATTTGATTAGAGATTTGGATGTAGAACTAGCAAGGATTTTTATTGATGCAATGAGGGGACAAGGGAGCAACTGTGAGGTTAAAACAAGATTTTAGCATGCAATCTATACACACATGCTGACTTGAGGAGACAACTGCATTGTGACATAATTGTTCATAAGACCAGAGGATCTCTTTTGACTCAATATATATACACATAGCATTTTGGTATTTTAGATGAAGAAAGACTTCACCATTTTTAAGACATCCCAATTCTATGTACTTAAATAGTTTTATAATAGAAGAAACAAAACTAAGTATTCAAAAAGAATTACACTTTGGTGGAGTATTCCATTAACTAGGCAGGGTAGATGGCAGGTGAACGTTACTGTAGAGCATTCTATCTGTAGAGTTGGTGTATTATTGGCTTCATTCCTTTTGGAAATTTTTAAAAATAAATTTAATTTGTTTATTTTTGGGTGCATTGGGTCTTCGTTGCGGTGTGCAGGCTTCTCATTGCGGTGGCTTCTCTTGTGGAGCACAGGCTTTAGGTGTGCGGGCTTCAGTAGTTGTGGCATGTGTGCTCAGTAGCTGTGGCTCGTGGGCTCTAGAGCGTAGGCTCTGTAGTTGTGCACAGGCTTAGTTGCTCCGTGGCATGTGGGATGTTCCCGGACCAGGGCTGGAACCCGTGTCCCCTGCATTGGCAGGCAGATTCTTCACCACTGCGCCACCAGGGAAGTCCCCTGCTTTGGAAATCTTTGATTCCTACATTATTTGGGGCAATTGTGCATTACAGCAAAAGTGACACTGGAAAATGGGTCCCTTAAGGCCTTTGAATGAAATAGTTTTGTCTCAACCATACTATTACTCTTCCCCTAACTAGCAAATACTCCTCTATGACTTTCAGCTTTATGGGTCCCTTGAATCGATGTGAATGGTTTATTTTACGTTGGCTGGCAAACGCTAACCAAATGCCTTTAGAAGAAGCCTGAGCTTGGATTCATAGATAATGCTTACCCGGATTAGGTAGCGGCATTGAGGATAAGAAAGAGTAGAAGATAAGGAGAAGCTCCTGCATGTATACACCAAAATGGGAGGGAAGAAAAAAAGAGTATCTTGAAATAAGGTAGCAGTTACAACATGAACAAACTTGAATGGAGAAAATTTCACTCCAAGCCTGCAGTACCAGCCCTAGCTTGTTCAGTGTGGTGGCACACCAAGCAATCTTATTCCCTCAGCATCCATCTTATGGGGAGTTTTGCACAAGAACGAGAAGAAATACTTAGACCTGATATTGAACTTCCTTGATTCCTTCATCAAGAAATTTCTTTTCCCTTGAATGAGATAGAGCTGTATCCTCATTTAAAAGAATGAATTTTCCTTATGTGCTAGGTAATTGTGTGGATGAATTAAAATATGAAAAAGACACAAAAAATTTTCATTTCGTTGGCTTGTTTCTTGGAGGTTGAAGGTACCTGAGTACAATAGCATGGGAAATGACATGAAAGAGACAATCTTAGAATTTCCTAGAAAAATATTTCTCCATATGTGGAAGAGAAATCGATACTTTTCACCCTGGCCTACCCAGCCCTTACACCCTATGGCCCCTACTTACCTCTCCAATCTCATCCTGTACCTTCTTCCTCATTTTTTATTATGTTCTAACCAGTTCGTATTCTTTTTTGTTTTTCAAGCACTCCACCTTGTTTCCACCTTAGGACCTTTGCTCGCACTCTTCTTTCTGATTGGTCTTCCCAAGTCTTGGTGTAGCTGGTCCTTCTCATTATTCAGGTCTCAGGTGAAATGTGTCTCCCCAGTCTCTCTCTTGACCACCTTATCTAATCCCGTTCTTACAACCTTCACTCCGTCCCAGTTTATCCCATTATCTTACGTT